TATATATATTTAAGTTAATCTTGAAATAGAATTAAGTTTAAGAATAACTACGAACAATACGGTGCGACAACCGAGTAGCCTCGTGCGTAGTTGTGCGAAAGGCACGAATCTATGGAAATGGAGATTAGAGGCCAAAAGAAGATCCAGGAGAACCTCACATTAGAAATAAATAGTATGCATATAGGCATAGGGTCACTATTGCTTGATTGCGTTCGTTTCAATGGATGCTGTATGTACGGTTTTGTGAGGCTTAGCGGTCACCGTACTCTCGGGAAACTTCAAAGCACTGATGCCCAGATCTCCGCTGTGCACGTAATGCGTATCCGACCTGCCGCTGCTTAACAGGTGTCTACCTCGCTAGCCTATTAAATTTTCTTCCAAGCTAACTGGTCCAACATTATCACAACACGAACTCAATGGTCTAACAGACGAGACATCGTAATCTCCGCTTAAATATACTCTTTGTTCAAAATTCAAAGGAAACCAACGACCGTTTGCCGGCTCGCCTGGAGAAAGAGTGGGATCTTTTTTTGTTCGCTGATGTAGTCTACCGTAAGGCTGAAGTAATCAGCTGCGTTGGTGTCAATCGACTCCGGTACTTTAATCGATTTCATAAACACACATTCTACACAATCTGATTGAATTTCATAGAAATTCTAGGAGCTTTGTCGTCGTTAATTATAAAAATAATAATCAACAGGTCTAACCAGTAAAAACATGCTTTCTATGCAGACAGCTATTTTGTGATGAATATACTTCAAAATGCTCGGAGATAGACGAGAAAAAACCTCAACCAATTTTAAAATACTTGCCTTAGAAAAAAAACGCGAATCTCCGCAAATAATAAGCTTAAACTTTGTCTGAGCTTAAGCAAGCCACTGAATGAAAGGGTTTTCAGCGCTGTCTTTCGTGCAGAAGATTGACCGTCATTTCAAGTCTTCGAAACTGATAATACTTTTTTGGAACCTGACATTACTAGCAAATGCGCCACAGATTAATGCAGCTTCCCCTTTACTGTAAAATATCTCCGTCTTTGACACATACGAAAAAATATAGAGTGATCAATAATCCTATGTGGGTACTCTATCATATACTGGATGTGTATTATAATCAATAACAACAACAGATATTATAGTATAAGGAAACTGTACGAAGTGTGAATGAAAACAATTATCGATGGTGCCTCTTTGAATTGTCAACTGAAAAACTAAGGGGGGCAGGCTATAGAAGGTGAGTGTGTCCCATCACAATGTCCTAGGATTTATCACGCTACCCTCTTGTTTTACCGACCACCTGGGTTTACTTTTCTCGGTTTACATTAATTTTAAGAAGAAGGGAGTTGCCGTGTGCACATGATTCGGTCAGCTCAAGCTTGCTTAAGATGTTGAGGATTTTCCTTTAGCATATATGTGTGATGCTTCAAAGGTTAAATGATTTAGTAGTAGCTCTCTTGGCCGACCCCCCGGTCTGGAGTGCTTCACCGTTTCCGGCCATTGAGCCTGTCTGGAAACTAGTGCAAAAGCCATGGAGTACCTGGGTTCAACTTTTATATTCAGCCGCATAATCTTTACAGATAACAAAAATCATCGCGGCCAATCTCTTCCCTTGAGTGATGCTTCCGTTGAGCATCGTCGATGAACCTTTTTACCTTCGGTGGAAGCACATTTCAGGCCTATTCTTTTATTTAGGCAGATGTGGCTGCTCACACATATAGTGTAGGCTCTCGGGTATGTAGATATGTAGAAGAATTCATTCAGCTATTTTATTATGGCACGACATATCCATGCTTGGATAGCGTCCCCATTGTCAGCAAGTCGCTTACCGCACGAGAAAATGCGCAGGTATTAAAAGGTTAATTAGTCAACAGTCGTTTTGTAACTTGCAGCAAAGGATCAGTACTTTTTCTGTCAATCAGCATATTTATGAGAATTGGCAGAAGTGCGATGTCGGAGGAGTACGACCGTCATCCGAATACATTAAGTTATTCTCAGAAAATGTTTATTGGCAGGCATACGGCAGCCATAACAATCTAAAACAAAATACAATTTTTAAACTGTAGAGTTCCACCAAACTTGGGCACGATTGTGTTTAGCATACGATTGTGTGTTCGAGGTGACTTATAGAGCGTCTTGCAGGGTTCTTACAACGAAACGTCTGAAGTAACAGCCTTTTATTATGCATGAAATCGAAGGTATAGTAGAAAGGTTCATGATTTTTCAGATATGATGGAAGTCTAGAGTTAACCTGATGACCTATGTAGAGGCTTTTGCAACGTTAAATGTGTTTCTTGAAAAAAAAAAAGTACCCTATCACTTTCGTAGACGCGCAACGAAAGTGTCCTTGTAGGAAAAGAAACGCAAACTTTTTGAAATCGGTTGTCCATTCTTACACATAAAAAGTGTCAATGTAATAGGTATCAGACACCAATTTCATTGAAATGTTAAAGCCATTCTCTCGAGCGTCGCAATACACCGATACGCATTCGTGCCACCCACTGACTACTATTAAGCAAATATATACCGTCAAGTTAGTTCAAGTTCCGCAACGGCGGACGGATAAACCAATAGATTACGGTTGGCTATTGCCTTTATCCTAGTACACTTTATAAACGGCTCCATTTAGTGTTTTGAATGCATCGATAAATCTTCCGCATTCATCCCCCGCCTAAATTATGGTTCGCGCTCATGGTCCCATTAGACTCCTAACTTAAATCCCGTTTCACTGCTTCACCCGTTCCTGCTATATGTGTTCACTCTATACTCAGAGTGAGCTCCGGTAGACTCCACGATTACCCATTCGCAAACCCGTCATTCCTGCAAATGACAGTCCGTCCCAATCGAACAGCCCACAAGTTTGTATGGGAGGAGTCACAATTCGGCTCCGCCTTGTGGGGCTCCGCGGAGCAGATTCACTAGCTTCAATGAGATCCGATGAGACCGCCCTGAGGAGCCCACGACGCTGACCTCGACTGACTTCAACTATGAAAAACCAGGACGAAACAAGAATGGCGGACAAACAGTGAAGGAGAGAAGCTTACCGGAATTTGTAACCTTTTAAATAAATAGTATTTCGCGGTGGCGATTATAATGGCACTGTCCTAGTTATTGGCAAGGGTTTTCAATTTACTACGCAATAAGTAACTGCTACGGGAATACAGGCCATAAAGGCTCTGAATTTCCACATGACCACATTTACGTAGTTGGATATCCGTTTTTGTTTCTTGATTCACAAACACCCGAGAACGGACTAAACACACCATTACGATGGCTTAATTTGCGACTTTTATAGTCAGGTCTGGCGCAATGTGCTAAACATGCATAATGGAAAATAGACACAGGTGGGTTTGTTAATCCTTTTCATATTACTATTATATATGCTGGCTCATAGAAATAAACTCGTTTCTTCTTTTTCATAAATTGGAATAATAAGACCCAGTTGAGCTCTATTTGAGATCATCAACAGCAGCACTACTGTTTGCTGTGTCTGGCAAAAATCTTAATAAAAGTAATACTGATCAGATACACTGAAGGTTGCAAGGTAAAAAGTGGTCATACAGGTCAGAACTAAAATAGATTAAAACGAACATCTATGCGAAGTACTAGAAAAGTATATTACCGTATTCGGAATAATAGTAAATTTTGCTTATTGCTTTACTTTTTAGTTGTGTATTTTAGTGGCCAATGAAATCTCTCTTGCTCTACAACAATTATAGCTAAGAAATACCGGTTCACCTAACAACTATCTTTTATTAATCAAAAGTGCCCCAAAAACCACCCTGGTGGAACTGGAAGAGCCCGCCATAGTCGAGGATGCCGCATTCGAACATCGCAAGCAGAAAACGGTGAGGAGCTACTTTACTTTCGATCTGGACCATGTGACGTTCCTCGTCGGGGTCCGTTTTTCAACCGACACGCTAGGAGTTACGTCTGGGTATCCTCGTATCCGTAGACCCACGTTTGGTTACCCGTAATACCATGTTCAAGCAGATTTTGCTCTTCTTGAAGCGGCAAAAAATTTCCTGGCCCAGTTTTTTTCCAGTAGATATTTACTGGAGGTTCAGCTGTTTCTACAGAAACTTTGTCGTAAACCTTCTGACCGTTGAACGGTAAGTGAAAATGAGCTGACTTAAGCCAATCCGGATCTCTGTTTGTTGTGCTAGCTCCCTTATGGTAACTTGGGAGTTAGGCAGCCCGAGTTGTCGTACTTCCTCCACGCTCTCGTCCGTGATCGCTGTCACAGGCCTTCCAGGATGATGACTGTTCTCTTATCCGTTCCGAAACCCTTTACCGCCTGTTTACTTAAATTTCACAAAACCTAATGCATTCTCGTCACTACATTTGCGAATCACAAAACTATCTACGAATATTTTTTCGATCTTACTAAAAAAAAATTATAATTGCATTGGATTGTTACGGAAGTTTACCTAGTTATGGCAGACCCCCGTTTTTGCCGCAGTAAACGTGAGTCGCAAACAATTATTCGACAAGGCGAAAATTCAAACAACTTGTTGATTTCTGAATATACGGTCCTAAATATCGTATATTTAAGACCGTTTATTCAGGACGTAACTTTGGCAGGCTGTTCGTTTTACCGGGCGTGTGCCATTTTTCTAGAACGAAACAAGGATGTTGTTACGGCGAAAAACAGTGAATCGGTTTTGGGACTTGAACAGAGATGATGTAATGTTTTTACGGGAAAAAGATTGATCTGAAACTATAAATTTCTTGAGTTGAGCCAGATCGCCACTACAATTTCGCAAGTGCGTATGCGGTTGGTTGCAGAGGAGGCAGGTTCTAACATTATATGGAAAAAAATTACTGACGCAG